CCCCCCACGGTTTACCTCGGATATAACGCCGTTTACATCTAGTGCGAGAGGCCTTGCTGCCTCTGGCCCCGCCCCTTTAGAGAAGAAGCCCGCTGTGGTTTCCAGCTCTGTGCTCCAGCTGTAGTTTGTATGAGTGTGTAAACTAAAATCAAGAATGTACATAGCCAGTGCTTTCACACTGAAAAAAGTGCTCAACTGGAAATGATGTTGTTCATAAGTGTCGGTATTGTTAATCAATAGAAGATCTGTTACATTTTTTTGCAAAGAATTATACATGGCTATAGTAATTATTCTGGCTAAAAAAGCTCACTTTATTGGGTTACGATGCTGATTAAAGTTATTATGTGTGAATTATCAGATGGTTCCTGAGATTTCCTATGAAAAATGGATTCAGGATGTAAAATTGGTGCAACATTAACCTCACTTCCTTATCATGTCAGCCGTTTATAGATCATTGGAACACCAAGCAACTATTTTTAAATCTACAGTTTTTTAACATTTTAACAGATATTTTACCTCCATGTGTCAGGGATTGGTGAGCACTTCTGTAATGATGCACTTTCTGATCTTATTAGCCTGTTTCTGCAGGTTTCTATTGTTGTGCTGGAGGATTGACTTCACTGCAGAATACAGAAGCTGCAAATAACCCAGTGATGTAAGTCAGTCTGACAGGATTTAAAAAGCTCATCTCAGCTCTAACATGTTGCATCAAACTAAAACTGTTCATAAGGGTCAAGAACAAAAGTACAAATACTTCCTTCTCCTACTTTAGTAGAAATGTTGGCGTCTCTACTTTACTGGAGTAACTAATTTTACTTCTTCTCCTTATATTTAAAAAATAGACTCTTAGTTTTGTTTATTTAATCTCATTTTAATTCTGGCCTGTTGGTATTTAAAAAAAATAATAGTTTCATCCAGACAATTCATTTCTTTGTGGTTGGACTCGGTGCTGCCCCAACGTGTTGCTCACCACATAACAAAATAAATAATTTATCAAGATGAAGCAAAGTTAATGTGACGCTTTTACCATTAGTTATAAAACTAAGAAAATGAAGTCTAATGAAGTTATCATCCAGAATTATAGATAAATGTTCCTTTAATAGAGTAGAGCAGTAAAGAGCCTTAACAGTTTTTCCTGCATTACTTTTACTTTTATACTTTAAGTAGTTTTAAAATAGCTACTTTTACACTTTTACTGGAGTAAAAAGCTGAACTTCTACAAACAGCAGGATTTAAACTGCAGTAATAAACATGAATAGTTTTAACACCTCTGGTCGTGTTTAAAGAAGCTAGAATTAGCATCAACATTTCATTGGCTTCCATTTGTCTTTAAAAAATCCACATTTTCAACTGAAACACCCAAAAAGTCAGAATTACGAATCGTTAAGTTGGTGCAACAGGATGGGACCTGATTTCTGAATCATGATGGATGCTACTGAGGTCAACATGGATAAACGGAGCTACTTTGCCCGTTTGTAGCAGTCCTCTATGCTGATGTGTGCAGCTTGCAGTCAGTGATGCAGGAACCACTTGTTTAGATGTTAATCTTTTAATACTCAGAAAACCCAATGGAAACATTTTAGTCACTTGTTTCACTGGACTTCTGACAATAATGGAACGCAGCTTCAGTGGTTTCTGCCCCCCAGCAGCTTCCCTGAGGTTCTTCTCTTCTCTCCTCCCAGACGGCACAGACACCAGAGGCTGCAGCCAAATGCAGAAAATCACAGAGCGAGTTTGGGTGATGGACACTTTGATCACTTTTTATTTCTAACAATTCAAATAAACAGAAGGAGCATTATAGCCTGTATCATATAGATTTTATAAATCTTTATTGTTGATCTAAAAAATGAGACTGTAAACTGATGTTCAAAGGTTAGTTAACTTTTTTTTAAATATGTTAAAAAACAGCAAGCATTGATAAATTCAGAAACAGCTATAATAGAAAACAGGCGGTGATAATCAGCAATCATTTTAAGGGAGGGGGTTGGGTGGGGAGGGGGTCAGGGGGTATTTTTGTTCACTAAATGGTGAAAATGGTGATCTTTTGTTTCCAGGTGGATCATGTCAATCAGTGGTCCTCCTAACTGTCAATCATTCTATCTAAGGCCATCCTTCGTGCTCGTCCTTTTTCTGCACATGCACACTTTCAGGCGTACAGTATGTGTGGTGAGCTATGTTTTCCGACAGTCATTGAAGCTCACCTTTCTCACCACAGGTTAGTGAAAAATACATTTGCATGGTGGAAAATTTTTTAAATATCTTATTTTGGAAACTGAGCTTGTATGAGCGATAAAAACAGCAACTGCCCTTTGCCACAGACCGCCACCCAACAGCCCATATCTCCTCGCACGCTTTTAATAGGCATTCCCTCTCAGGAGCAGGTAACCGGTTGTGCATTGTTTTGATTTTTTTTATTAAATGGAGAGGGCGGGTCTTTTCAAAAATTCAGGAAAATCCTCCCCTGTACCTTTAAGACTCTGATCAGAAGTCAGCAATCCCAGGTGCTGCAGACACTTTTGTTTGGAAAGTTGTTTTATTTAGAAGCATTCGTGCAATAATACATGTAGACACGTAATTTTAAGGTAGAACTAGAAAAAATAGACTAGAAAAAAAACTATTTCTAAAGCTAAAAACATCCATATATATATGAGGCATTAATTGGTGTTTCTGGCTGAGAAATGTAGTTAATTTGCTGATATAAAGAGGAAATATCAGGGTAACATCTCTACATGTGGAGCATTTCTACAGTTTAATAAATTAGTTTTAATTTGGGAATCAATAAATTTATGCTTCGTATTGTGGGCTCTGCCACCTGCTGGAACTAATGAATAACTGCAACTAATTTCTCAAAAGCACAGCCTTTCTACCAAGCTACTATTTGATCTCCAAACTGTAAACTGTCTTTATTTCATTATTTAGCTTCGCTAACAGCTGCCTCAGGGCTGCAAAGCTCTGCTGTTTGTAAGTTAAGATCAAACTGACACTTTTTATTCAACATAACAACTTTCAAAACCACAAGTCTGACAAATAACAATGACACCTAAATGCATAAATCAACATTTTAGTTTAGCTGGGAAAACCCACAGCAGAAACCTCCTCCGTCCGTTTTCCACTCAACGTTCAGTAAATAGCAGCTGGCTCATAAAATCTGAATTCCGTCACAGAATGTGGAAAAAATTGGCATCAAATGATAGAAATAGATTGAGCTGATTAGATAGATAAAAAAAATGCACAGAAAAAAGTAAAAAACATTGAAAAATTAAATTTAATCAAAAACAAGTTAAATAGGAAATATAAATAGATCAGCTGCTTTAGATCTTCTGTGATTCCAATGAAATATATTCGCTTTGGTTTAATAAATTTAATCATTAAATACATCAAACTTTTTTTTTTTAAAGGACTCAACAACAAATAAACTCGTTGAACTCCATCAGATTAATTTTCCACTAAAGCTTTAAACTAATCTAAAAATGTTTATAGAGGTCTAATAGATGCAGCGAAGGTCTAAACTTTTATATTCCAGTCTGAAGTTGAAATGGTTTTAATGGCTAAACTTTTTTATTTATAGTGAAGGCGCTGCTGCTTTTTCCTCCCTTTTCGGAGCCTTTGGTCCCATTTCTCAGGGCCCCTTTGTTCCTGTTTCTGGGAAGTTGTGACTTCAAATCTGGGCTGTCATTATCAGCCATCATTATGGCTCAAACCGAGATATGCATGAGAAACCTGCGTCTGTCAGAAGAGAAGAAGAAGGCAGAGGAGGAGGAGGAGGAGGAGAGGAAGATATGTGACAGCTGAGGCTCAGGGAGTGGGTGGTGGGTGCAGAGGGGGCAGGACCTGGAGTTGGCTGCGCTCTTCTCTCCAGCTTGTCTCCTCTCATTAGGAAATGCCAATCAGGCTGCGCTGCAAACCACTTCCAAGCCTCCCCCACTGAAGAACCGGCAGAAAAAAGGAAAGTTAAAAAAAAGTTTGTTTTCTCCTTTTTTTTAAGTAGGCTCCCACTAACCCCCCCTTCCCTCCCTCCCTCCTGCCGCCGCCATCTGCCCACCATTAATTGTGGTGTTGCTGTCTCGCTGTGGACGTGGCAGACACACAATGCATATGTTCTGACTGGGAGCAGGTGATATACATTTCTGAGAAGCATGTTGCTGATCAACAGTGAGGAGCCTTTTCCCTCCTGCAACATATGCTCTGCTAGATACAACCCAAGCTCCTCTCTGCTGGAAAAAGAAAAAGATGGAGGGTCCTCTGGTTGCTAGGAGACCACTGCACTGAAGAATAGTCTGGGCTGAACGGATGCTCTCACTGTTTTTTCCTCTGTGTCCCACTATTATATGTTTTTCCTGATGTGACTGAGCCCCCCCCCCTGCAGTCATGGTTTCATACGTCCAATAGCATTTTCTCCTCCACATTATGTCAGTCTGAGCTTCAGCTGTGTAAGCATCACCTTATTTAAGAAAGCTTCTTTCAGACAAAACCATTTATTTTCTTTGCCACTCTATGGCTTCTATTGCATTATGGAAACAGCACAATATTTGTTGTCATCTTATGTATGCAGTAATAGGTATGAATGTTTCAGCAGTTCACATATTTCACATGGAGCGCTTACTGTGCAGCATATGCAAAAAATACTGACAGAAAAAAAATGACATTTCCTCTGAAAAGTTTGACAAACAGTGCGGATCATGCAGTGTTCATAATGAGGAGCATGATGCTCGGGTTTGACCCTCTAACCAAAGCTTGTGCCTCCTCTATCTGCTCCTGTTTTTCTGTCCCTGAGCCACAGGCGTCTTCAGCTGCTGCAGGTTGGGGCTGTGGCTGCCCAGCTTGGGCGAAAGGCCGTCCCCGGGCGCCTGTGGCTCTGTGTGGGTCTGTGCTCGTCTCTGAGCCGTGACAGGATACAGCAGAGGCATGGCAATTCCTTGTCCCCGCTTCTGGAAGGCTGCTATCAGATTCTTGATGTGCCGGAAATATCGCTTCGGCACACCAGGAGTCGTCTGAAACAGAAGAGGAGTAAAAATAGTATTCATCACTCCTTGATGGAGGAAAAGGGCTCCTTCACCCTGGAAAGGTTCACTGCACAAAGGAAATGGGAATCCTGTCAGTTAAATATACCGAGCCGCTGATCTTTAAAGAGTCGACGTTAAATAATAAAAACAGCTCATTAATAAATAAAGTGATGCAGTGAAGATAGCAAAGACATAAATGCTAAATCAACTCTAAAGGGGAAGCTATAGAGAGACGCTCCTCTCTAAGGAATTCAAAGCAACTCTTGGACATTTCTTTGAAAACATTAAAATCCCCCGAGATTATTTCATATTTTCCTAGAAAATGAATAAAAACCCTTATTTGGAGGTTTTTTTTACGTGAGACTTTTAAGATCCTTTAAATGCCCAAAGGGTTTTACTAGAGTTAATAAAAAACACTAAACAACCACTGAGGGCTTCTGTCCACTTTAAAACTGAAAGCAAATATAAAAAAAAGGATTTTAGAATGAAATAGAAAACATTTTTAAAATGATGAATAAATGGCCAAGAAAACATTTTTTATATCTCAGCTCAATGAAATGTTTCCTGCTGAAAATAAAAGCGAGTGTAAGCTAACTAATTTATATCCAAGCGTATTGAAACCTGCTTCTAGTTTCATGATAGGAATTATAATCCCAGTCAAAGTGCTGGGTCAGAGGTCAGAGGTCACGGCTGGATTTTATGAGGATCAATCCTCTTTGGTGCTACGAATGTTTGTTTGCAGCTTCATTGTCTGATTTCAGGCCGTTTTCCCGACCATCTCTTTCATTATGCGCATCTATTTCTCTCTTATCATTTTTACATTGAATATTACCAAAGAATTGCATTTTCCAGTCCGCTGTAATTTTGTCTAGTAAGGCCTTTAAAAGTGCATTATGTGTTTTCATTTGGCTCCATCAATCATGCTGTAAGAGCTGAGGAAAAACATGTCCTTTGAATGCATTTTTAAAATCATTTAATCACAGGTGGAGAGCGCTTCCAGGGGCCCCTGTCTCTGCTCAGGACATGCAGGAATAATGGAGAGGCTGGTTGAGCTCATGGTCAAATTCCTATCCTTCACGTCCAGCATGGGGACAATACTGTTTGTGAGGACAAAGTCTAAAATGTCTCCCAGGATGTTTGCCTTCACTCGCTGCTCAGTAACGCTGCCTAACTTTGCAGACGCCGTGGCATCTTTGCATTTTGAGACGTGGGGTGAAGGGGTGCAGGGAGACACTCTGCTGCTGCTGAGGGAAAAGAAATGGAGCCATTTCTAAACTCCGTCACGTTTCAAATATATATACAGAGAGAGAGAAGCAGAGAAAACAGGGACAGAAAACATGTTTGCTTCTGATCCGCAGCTTGTTGAATTACTCTGACACAAAAACAACTTCCAACCTAATAAAGAGCAACCAGAGCGAAGCTGCTGCTCGGGAAGAATCTGAATAAAAGGAGAAATTAAAAATAAAAGTCTTACTTCTGCAGCCCAGGATCCTGCTTCGTCCTTATGGAGTCTGTATGTGTAGACGTATCCTTTGCACCTGAACACAGAAACTCATTTAGCTTCTTGATTTTTATAAAACACAGTAGTGCAGGTGGGAGTTACTTTCTTTGGGTTTAGAGGCTCAGTAATGTGGATGATGAAGGTCCAGGTAGAGGAATACTTACAGCACACAGAGGCAGAAGACTCCCGGCACAGAGTCACTGTCACGCACAAGATAGCAGCCGTCTCTGCCGTCCTGGCCCAGCCGCCTCTCGCCTTCCTCCTTGCCGATGGGTCCGTGGTAGACAGCCAGGTTCTCCATCAATGCCTTCCTCTGGGGGGGCCTTTTCCTAAGTGCCCTTCTCCTTTCTGTCTGCTTTCTTACTGCAGGTGAGACTTTTTCTCTCCTACACCATAAAGCTGCACAAGTAAAACTGTTTTTTCCAGGTTTGCTTCTCAATATGTGTCCAGAGAATCTTTACTTCAGATCTTATGGATTTTTATTTTCTTTTGCCGTTAGATTAAGGTTGAGAGCTGACAGGCACTCCGTCTCACCTCTAACCTTTCTGATCCGGTGCTCGTGCTCTGCCTCTGTCTTTATAAGGCGCATGCTTGTGTGCACAGGCACACACCAAAAATGTGGGTTTGCATTTCTCTCAGGAAACGATTGTATTTTGCAACAGGAAATAACTTCAAAGATACTTAACGGAACATTTCCACAACAAAAAAAAAAAAAGCACAAGAGAGGGATGAAAAAAGGCATTTCTCTTCTCTCAAAATAAAAAAGCATGATGCATATGAAACCTTTTCCATCCTGCTTCATTATCACATTTTCACTGCTTCTGTTTCCATAAGTTCAATTAGTTTTCTAGGGTTTCAAACTTTCAAATAAATATTTCTGTTCCTGTTTCTGTTAATCAAACTGTTCCTGTTTCTAACATTTATATTCGTAGTTACGAGCATTCAGATTATTTTTGCAACACAGTTTGTTGAAGTAAATAACTTTCTGTTTACTTTGAAGTTATCTTCCACAACTGAAAGATAAAATGGCCTAAAAATGTAAAGTTATTATCTGTAGTGTAAAAACATAAATATAAATAGATTAATATTGCAGACATGAAAGAGGCGCAAGGTTCTCTCTGCTGCACACTTCTCTCATTTCATTTTAAAGTATTTTATATTTGTTCAAAAGAAGGATGGGACACATTTTTTAAAAGATGTATCAAAATTGTGTAAGAGATTTTTTAAAAGTGTAGTGACCTACAAAAGTGTTTCTAAACTTTTTCACATGTTGTTACACTGCAGCCACAAACCTCAGCATCTTTCACGCATTCTTTATATGATGGAGCGCAGAACTGTGCAGAGAAAGGAGAAAAGAATACGCTTCATTCTTTTTTAATAAACAAGGAAAGTGGCCAAAGAGTATTTCTCTGCACATTACTCTGAATATCCTCCAGCTGACACGATGGCAGCAGAACCAGGATCCTTTTTATTTGGAAATCAATCTAATAGACTAGCAGAAAAAGGCGGTTCTGCACATGATTGATTCAGAGGAGCTCAATGCTTATAAAGAATCTACTTTTCAGGTTTCTAAAACATTTTAGGAACTATTTTTTGTCATCATATTTTTACATTTGTCAGTTTAAATCTAAATAGGAAAATAAGTTTCTGGTCTCTGCATCCAGACACAGAAGACAATTTGCCTACATTCCTAATTTCTTTATTTTAATGCATGTAAAACCTTCATAATAAATAACAAAAAGAATGAGAGAAAAGTGTTTGTTTTTTTATCTCTACCTACATTTCCCAAAGCTTTTAGTTTTTTTCTCAGCAGGCGTCTCCTGATCATAGGTTGGCTCATATTCTCAGCCAACTTCTCACAGCTACATCTTCTGTTGAACATGTGTCTTGGGAACAGCCAGCTGCTCTGTCACACAAACAGAAAGCAGCTAATAAAGCTGCGTTCACAACCATTTCATTCTGCAATCTGTCCTGTCAATCCTAAACTTCCACCATGTCAGTTAGAAATCTGCTGCTCTTCACCACGTTAACACTCTTCATGTGTAATATTCATATTCATGGTGTTTATAATTTTGATCTTTACATCATCAAGGGTTTTGAAGAAATAGTTTCCTTTTTGGGGTTTTAAGGTCTTCCAATAGTGGTTTTCTTTTTTACTTCTCCTGTTCAGTCAGTGAGTTTGCACTGATTCAAAGCTGTGGTCGACATGAATCATCCGTCTGTGTCAGAGGCATCTTCTCTCTGTCTCACCAAGATCATGAGCAGTGGGAGTTTAGGCCCCTTTCTCTCAATCTGCCTGTGAGATCTTATGTAACGCTTTATGCAGCATTCCAGCGCCACCAAGTGGAGGAACATGGAAATCATAAGCAGACATTTCTAAAGCATTTAAGTTTGTTTAGTGTTTGTTCAAATATTAAACCAGTAACTCGTAAAAGAGAAAATCACATCACAGATAATGATCTTCTGTATGCTGCTGTTGCTGTTATAATCTCTGATAAAGACTAGATCATTGCAGACGGACTTCTTTTAAAGACGGACGGACATGACAGAAACTCTCCTCATTAATAGCAGCAGCCAACAAAAGAGGCTCAGTTAGAACGCCTCATTATGGCGCTGGTAGAAAATAACCATATTATCTATCTCAGATAGTCTCATAAAAAAGGAAAACCAAGATCTGTGGGGAAAGAGGAGATTAGTTTGAACCTGCATCCGTCTGCCAATTGGACTGTAATCCCAGGATTGCTGGGAGGTAGAGGCTCTCAGCCTCATTAGATAGAAGATAAAACAGGTAAAAAAGAAAATGTTAAAAATCTCTGAATGTATCTGATTTGACTAAATCACACAGCAACATAATTGCTATAATTAGACACAGTTCTTCTGTTTTCTAGACGAAGACTACTGTTGCAAAAAAAACCTCACAAAAAAGTTGCACTGGTTTGATGAACACTTGTTCTCTTTATTTCTTATAAGTACAAACTGTCTATAAGATGCAATATAATGATATGATTGTCATGAATAAACATTTAGCAACAACTACTGTCCAAAATAGACTGTAGGATCTATGGGAACACCAGGTTTAATTTAGGAGCATATATTCACATAGAAAAGACCAAACAATAAGAAACCTCTAATTCACATTTAACTGCATTTAGAAAATATAATGAAATAAAGAAAACAATCTGAAAGCATAAAAGTCAGCTGTTTGTAGTTCTTACGTTTCTGGGTAAAGTTTGGGATTAAGTCTGCAGAGTTTTTATCAGACTTAATTTCATCCCGTGAAGCTTTGAACTTTTTTAGTCATTTATATTTGTAATATATATTTCCTCTCACAAGCATCGTCTTGAATATTATGAACTATTTTACACGCAACTAGAGCTCTCTGGATTATCTTTGCATCAGGACGTTAGCCTGGTAGTTTCATTTTATATTTATAGTTTGGAGTGTGAAGCCAGAGCAGGGAAGCATTTTTGGATGGGGAAGGACTTCTATGGGGAACCTGAGGTACCCACGATGGCCAGGTCATGAAGATCACTGAGTTTCCTAGAGAAGGAGCTCAGCCTCGTACTGAAAGAGCCTCTTTTCTGACTGTGCTGCTCTCCACGGGCCTTCAAACAAGCACACAGGTCTTTGCAGAGACCCCCGAGACGGCCACGGAAATGGTTACCGACAAAGCAGTAGAGCACGGGGTTGATGGCAGAATTAGAGAATCCTAGGCAAAGGGTGAGTGGGGTCAGGTTGGCGATGGTCCAGGTTACCCAGCAGCTGTCCAGCCTTCCATTTTTATTCAAAAGATCCAAGAAGGTCACGCAGTGAAAGGGGAACCAGCAGATAAAGAAAGCCATAACAACAGCAGCTACTGTCCAGAGAATCCTCTCTATGCCCTGGGCCATCATGGGTTCAGCTGTGCAGGAGTTTGGGTGAACGGTTGGAGTTGGTGGTCGCTCTGATTTAAAGTGGCTGCTTCTAGGAGTTGGTGAAATCTGCAATCTTGCCGACTGTCTGTATGCCAACAAATGTCTCCCAATGGCCCAATAGCAACAAGTGATGCCAACAAGTGGCAGCAGGAATGCCACGATGACCTTCATCCAGTTGAGAGCCAGAAACCAAGTATCGTCTGGATAGACAATTACACACGCCTCTACATCCATCTCTTTAATGTAGTGGGTGTCTCTCAAAACCAAGTTAGGTGCTGAGCAAGCAAACGCCAGGATCCATACTAGGATGCACACAATCCGGGCACTCTCATAATCCCGTGACCTCTGCGAGAGGAAAGGATGCACAATGGCTAGGTAACGGTCAATGCTCATGCATGTGATGAAGAAGATAGATGCATAGAGGTTGAGGTTCAGGAGAGCCCCGCAGATTTTGCAGGCCACTTTGCCAAAGGGCCAGCTGTAGCCCCCGGAGTAGTAGACGGCCCACAGTGGAAGAGACAACAGGAAGAGCAGGTCTGAGACACAAAGGTTCAGCATGAAAATGTTAGCCACAGTTCTTGTCATGGCATTACCACAGGCCAACACGTACACTGCCAAGGCATTGCCCAGAGTTCCCAGCACGCAGATGATGCTGAAGATAGTGGGGATCACCGTTGTCATGGGAACAGGGGACCAGCCTGTGCAGAGGGGAGCAGGAGGTACAGAGGAGCTGTTCACGTAGACCTCTAGCATCGAAAAGGGGGAGGACGTCACGTTGAAACTGGAGAGTTCACTTGTTGATGCCATTATGGAAAGAGATGTTCGAAGAGTTGACTTCAGCTTTTTCAGATCTCCAAGGTCAGCTGGAAGCAACAGAAAGCAGGAGAGGTTTCAGACCATGGATACCTTTTATGGACGGCTGTTTCCTTCCTCTACTCTTTGCTTGGCACCAGTGTTTATTAGCTGCCCCCATTTATAAAAGAATTACAGAAGGAATTCATTATACAAAACTTGAAGTTAAACAGTAATAAAGTAACTTGGAGAAGGTTGTATTAATCTGCAGCCTATTGCATTCCTGAGAAACAGCTTTATCGTGTTAATGACTGGATTCATCAAACATTCATGACTTCAAATAAAAAAGAGCCAGCTTAATATAAGATTTAATAGGTTTAAAGAAATAATAAAAATTCCACAAACTGAAACTGTTAGTCTAATACACATGAGGGAACTAATAATTAATGAAGAATTCAAAAGCAGGCAATACAGTTTGCAGGATTACTTAAGGAAAAGTGCTTTTTCTAATGAAAATGTAATTATAGGTAATTATAACGAGACAGCTGGATAAGCGATAGACACATGGTGGATTTCCAAGGCCAGTTCAGAACAAGCCTGATACATTACTTTACTGCTTCCAAGATAGTACAAAAAAAGTGTGTTACCTGGAACGACTGAGCATCCGGTAGAAACAAACAAACGGTTTTCAGAGATTCCTTTGGCCAAAGTCCATATCTTGACAAATATTGCTGGAACTTTCTAAGAGAATTTGTCGCAGCAGAGCGTGGTGGACTGTACCATTCCTCCCAGTCTGTGTCTGGGTGTGAGCAGAGGGAGCAGATCTGAGGCTCTGAGAAACCAGATGAGGATGGGGATCTTATAGCCCCCAGGAGTCTCTTGATGATTGCTCAACAGGGAAGTTGCTGCACGTCACACCTCGGCCATAACAGAGACGGGAAGCTGCTTTCCTTCGCTAGAGAGAGTTTTCCTTTTTATTCCCTCCCTCCTGGAGCCTCAGCTAGGAGAAGCCAAACTTGTGGAAATCAAGTCAAGATGTGCTTAATAGCTCAAAGAGTGGATGCAGAGTCAGAGAACAGAACGATGTTGCAATCATGTGTTTCAGGGTGTCAAACTGAAAGACTAAACCACACCCGTCAGGATCTCTGACTTGATCAAATGCAGGCACTGGTTTAATTAGCACTGTCTACAGCATTCTTTCCACCAGTGGTCAGATAAGCCATGGGAAATATTTACTTTGTCACAGCGGAAGTCAAGGCAGCTACTGGGGCAGAGGAGAAGGCAGGGAGGCGCAGCATGGAAGACGAATGAGAAGCAGGACACAGTGAAACTGAAGGGAGGGAACGGGAAGATGAGATGGCAAAGAGAAGAAAAAGTGGAGTCTCCCTTCACTGGGTTTTCATTAAAGCCTCTGCTGAAAGCTGATGAGGGATGCATTCACAGCTCCGAGACTGATTGCATCACACCTCCTTTGATCAACAGTGTAAGCATGCATTCCTCCCCACACGCACAGCCCTGCATGCATCTCTGCACCTACGGCTCACCGCGTAGTCGTTCTTAATCTCAGCCTGGCATGTATTCATTGAAGCTGTGCGCTCAAATGTGATGTGTGACACTCGTACAACGTGGGCCATTAAGCATCTGTCAGGACGTGACATTCCTGTTCTAATAGCCGTGGGAACCGTGACAGTGAGGATGAAGGATGGACAGTTTGAAGGTCATCAACGAGGGGTTCCGTTTTTGAAATCTTGCGGGACATGAGAAATCAGGAATTTGCTGTTTTACAGAGCTGCTAACCTTGAAATGTTATCCTTTCCAAACCAAAAACAAATCCATAAAATCCAAACTTTCCCCTGGCATGCTGGGTATGCACAGTTGCTCTAACACATGTTTTACCATTCTGAGAGCTGAATAGGAGAAATATCCGAAGCACGTAATCTCAAACACCACGATTTCACTAAATGTCACAAATTAATCTTTAAACTACGTCTACCATGAGCAGTTCTTCTTAGCTCACAAATAACTGTGTTTGGATCGCCAAGATACAGGCCCCAAATGTAAACATAAACACAAAACTGATGGAGGCCAAAGGTCTCTGGTCATGACATGCAGCAACTAAAAAAAGAAGTTTCTGGTGTCTTGTAAGCCAACATAAATAGCAGATAGCAGACCAGAAAGGAGGGGAAAACAGCCTCAGCTATGCCTGCGGTTTATGGAAACCTATAAATGACTTAAAGTAAATAAAAGTCTTTATATTTCAACTAGACCTAATGAGCAGCATATTTATCCTCATTGATACTGAATATTAATAATCCTACATATCTTTTTAATCTCACTGACCCAGAGCCATAGCTCTGTTGAACCGTCCATTCTACCTGCTCTTAGCAGCAATGATTTTATGGGATTCTTTATAAATAAGATTGATCTTATTAAAAATAGGATCATTAGCACTCCTCTATGCGCGATTGGTTTGTCTCTGGAGGGTGACGCAGCATCTGAGGTAGTCATGGAATCTGAAATGGGTTTAGACTGCTTCGATCAAGTC